TATAGGCTATTGCATATAGTAATGTGACTGTATTAATGTTTTTTTTTTACCGTAACAAGCAGACTAAAAGTTAAACATGTGAGTGGATACCAATTTATTTGCTATGCTCGTTAACGTAAAAAAAAAATGCTGGACATAGCATATTGCTTATATGTTGACTTGAATGAAATAGCCTAACCTCAAAGAACGACTTGTGGATTGATGTGAATGCCAGCAAGCAGGAATAATGCTCAGAATGCTTGTGGATTAAACATCTCCGATGACGTTCATCGCCATGGATTGATTTTATCGGGTTATAAGAAAAGGTAGGATATGGATTTAATTGCGAACTGTTAGTAGGCTGCTGATTTTAGGATTTATCATGCTAGCTACGGCATTCGAGTCCACACGCGTCCAGCTAGAAGTGACATCAACTAGAAGTGACAGCCTGGTGAATAATCTGCATCACAAAAAGAAAAAAAAATGTAAAGGTTATTCACGATTACATATTACTGCCAAGGTATCTAGTCTTTACAGTGCTTTGTTATATGGAGCTGTTTGGTAGATCGCGATCTATCTAATTCGTTTGTCTACAATCCGTAATTAAAATGTGGCAGACTTTAATGGACAGTAAAACAAAGGCAGAACACCGTATAACTCCAAGCCGGCACCGTAACTTCATTTTGACGAACGGCTAAACAAAGTCAGAATGCCGTAACTCAGTTGGAGCGTTCCAAACAAAGTGAAAGAGCCGTAACTGGTGTTATACGGTGCTCTGCCTTGGTTTCTCCGGGGTTTTTTCGAAGTTACGGTTGAGACGACCCATTATTTTCTCGGAAAAACAACAAAATTAACTCAAGATACTTATACACATGATAAATGATGTCTTGAATGTCCCAAAAATATCAATAACTAATTTTCAACAAAAATCAAAGTTACAGTCTTTTGCCTTTGCACGGCAGTATAGTCGACTTTCACTAGAGGGACAGAAATTTGACAGGTTTACTTAAAAATACCTCAATTTGTGTTTAGAAGATAAACAAAAGTCTTATGGATTGGGAATGACAGAATGGGAATGATGACTTTTTGATTAATTTTGGGATAATTTTTTATATTTTAAAAGCATATTTCCAAAACAAGTTAACTAGATGACTTTGCACACCATAAAATACATTTATTTTCAGTCAGTAGGTATTGCTGACGTACCTTCAGAAGCAACGTTTTAGGTTTCGGGCCTCTCTTTTTAGGTCCATACATCTCCTGCTCCCGCTCTCTGTGTAAAAATACGAGTTTTTAAAAGGGTTTGCGATTATGTCAGTGTTTGCACTGTTTGTGCCAGTTTCAAACATCCTCTTGAGCAAAAGCATGACTACAAAGTTTTACTTCAGACTGTGACTTGAGTATTCATGTGATGTGGGTGCAGATGTCTGTGTGAATGCTTCCTGTGGGTATGCAGGAAAGAGTTCTTCAGAGATCTAGCTCTGAATCAGGGAGACCACTTCAAACAGAAGCGCCAACTGTCACAAACGAATTTAACGCTCATGATCGCATGAGTTGATATTCTGTAGAAGTCAATTTCCTTTAAATATGTTAATCAGGAGCAAAAATCATCAACACACAACTCACTTTTGCTCAAATGCTGCAACGAGTCGTTCATCTAGGATGTTCTCCTCAGGTTCCCATGTGCTGTACCTGCAAAATATACAGAACATTTAACATCCATGACTTATTAGACATACAAAACTTAACTAATGAATCAAATTTCTGTTCACTTACTTTATTGCCCATCCTTTCCATTTCACTAGGTACTCCATCCGTCCCTATAGAAAAGACAAAAGACAGATCAGATTCAGTTCCCAACATTTCTGGACGATATCTTTTATTGACGGAATATTTCATCAAGATCAATCTGTCATCATTTACTCTCTTTCCTGCGGTTCTTAAACCATAGGCTGCTATTTTTTAATGAAACACGTGAATAGATATTCTTTAAGAATCTTTACTCAGCTTGTTCTATACAGATGATGCTTTGGAGTTTAAAAACGCAGTGTAAATATATCATAAAACTAAAAGTAGTCCATATCCATTCATCCTTCAAACCGCTTGTCCTATTTAGGGTTGAGAATTAGTCAATATGACCAAACTAATTTAAGACTCTAGAGGACTTGAGATATACTCATGTGGACCACTTTTAAGATGCCTTTTACATTCATGGGAAAATTATTCTTCAGTTCCACTGAAGAAAGTAAGTCATGTAATCTTGGAAGAGAGTAAATGTTGACAAAAACGCCCCAAATTAGGGTAGACTACTCCTTTATATAATCCTGACCCCATAATGCAATATTAAAATGTCCATTCAGTAACGAACTCAATCAAATGTACGCGCACGCGTAGTGTAACACAATACACAAAAAGTTCTTTCATGTATTTAGTATCAGCTGGTCATTTGACAACCAACATTTTGTTCCGTACCGTCCCTGAAAAAAATCGCCGGTCGCACTGAAAACAAAAACAAACAACAAGTCGAACGCAATAACGAGTGGTTGCTACGCGACGCGACGCACAGATAGGCTATAGAACGTAAACATTCCATTATACATTTGCGAAACTATCGTCCTGCAAACGCGCGAAATGTGCTGTTTGATTAATTATAACGCAGTGTAAAGAGCTCCTCAGCTTAAGCTATAGTGCTAGGGTTCTAGTTGGGTAGCGTCGCGTCGCGTCGCACGCCTGCAGTGTCGATGGGGTGTCAGACGGACCGGCCTTTGTCAAAAATTTGCACTCCGGGCAGACACAAAAAAGCTAACGCGCTAACAGCACCAGCTCCATCTGGCGCCGCTCCAAGCTAAACGACCTTACACAATACACGGAGCTAAAAAAAAATGAGCAACTGTCAAATTTGTGCCCTAAAAAAATGAATGCATACACAACTGCGCGTAATACGAGCGGTTTTATGGTTGCATAGGAAAGCATGGAGCTCTGTTCAGTTCAGTGCACTGCGCTCGGTCTGCAGGGCTGAAGTTTAGTGCGTCTGTAGGCCGCGGTGAAAGGAAATAAAACGAGTTTTCATAATAAACACACTGACCTTACGGATGCGGCGCTTCAGGATGGCCTCAGCGGCAAACACTCGGTCCCCTGCCGCAGACAGCTCCATCTTTAGTGGGACAGCAGAGACGGGTTCTTCCGCGGAAGCAATGGTGAGATCCTGCCCCGTGGAGGAGTGAACCAAACACACGCGCGCGCGCCTCGAACACAGCGGCCCCTGCAAGAATGCACTGGTCTACAGATAATAGACATTAGAGGAAAAAGAGGAAGAAGAACAATGCTCTTCAAAGAACATATCTATCTATCTATCTATCTACATAAATATTAGTGTACTTAATGTATAATTTGTTTTTATATTACATTTTATTTAAAATCATTATATATCATTTTTAATATTTCATATCTATGTACTACATAAATATTAGTATACTTTGTATGTACAATTTATATGTAATTTTATTAAAGATTTATTATTATTATTATTATTATATTAATAAGTATCTATCTATAGATATCATTATCTATCTATCTATCCATGTATAT